GAGTGAGTGAGTGAGTGAGTGAGTGAGTGAGTGAGTGAGTGAGTGAGTGAGTGAGTGAGTGAGTGAGTGCTAGCACATAACACGACCTTGCAAAATCAGCTTTATGTTAATATTTTCCTCCCCACTAAAGTTTTTGCGTTTCGAATTTGTGAACAATATTTAGAAGCCAAAAAGAATTTGTCTGATATTCATTTTAGATAAATCCACAAAATAGTTTTGCTCTACATACCGCGTAAAAACAACCCATTTTCAGCTATGTCCCCATTTTAGTATCATGGTGCACTAGTTCGCATTAGGCCTAGCACTAAAAATCCCAACGATTGCGCCATATTGCAAACTACTGTAATCTAACAGGCCATCAGAAGTTTGCAGATAGTTTGTCTCAAGTTTCCTTTGCCTGCTGAGATCGTGCTTAAGATTAGTAAAGAGCAGATAATGGTTAAGATTAGTAAAGAGCAGAGAGCCTTTTTTTTATTGAACATTTCCTCACCACCAACTCATTTCGTAAGTTTCGTGTAAGGTAAGGAAATAATTTTAAAGGTGATGGGCCATTTCCACGACATTAAAGAAGGCCTTAATGTCAAGGGTGGAAATGGCCCATCAGTTAAGGCCTGTAGAGAATCAGAATTAAATATTATCAGACAAAACGACCGCTTCAGGTCAAACACACACCGTTCGCACCCCTTTAAACGTCACCAGGGTGCAGAATTCAGCAGATGAGCACCATGAGATGTTTGTCCGTAGACAATATCTGCAGCAATGACTTTCCTACATCTCAACGGTCCGTAATCTCAAGGCAGATCTTCGTCTACGACTGTACTAGTTTCACGTTCACGGAGCTATCAGAGGATTGCAATGTGTTCATGATTCCTCGATCGCCTTGAAAAGCGTGAACATTTCTTCTATGACATTTTGTTCCTTGGCAAAGCCCATATTCACCTTTCGGGTTATATCAACTTCACAAATGCTGTATATTATGGCAACCTCACCCCCCCCCTCCGCCCCTCATATTGTCTCGAGAAACAGTTCTATACTGTAAGGTGTACGGTGAGTGTGGCTTTGAGTTCTAATGGTTAAATAACGCGTTAAAATGTGTCGAGTCAAAAGGACAACATATAGACCATTGGTTCTCGGAATTCCAGAATTTAAACAATATTCTTTAAACTTTGTAGGGGAAAAGAAATTAATACTGTTTAAAGGATACAGGGATGAAAAGATTAGATTTTTAAAATAAACGGAAAGTAAAAAAGTCCCAATCATTTCATGGCTTTCTTTACAATGTATTTTAAATTGGGGCATTTTGCATTTATAGGTGGTTTTTAAAAACGCCATTTCCGTTTTCGAAAATAAGTTTCTTCTTTGTGAAGCTTATGTCAAACAATTTCCTTTTGAATTATTTATAACTGCTCCAAATTACAACATTCTATTACAAATTTTGTGCAAGATATTTTATTAAAAATTGTACCGTTTTCTTGTTGATGTTTTTTTTAGCACCCTGTGATCAGAACAAAATCTCATTTTGTTTCAATCGAGGCTGAGTCTAATGAAGCATCTGTCAAAAACCACATCCCTCATGCAGTTTTTACATTTTGCTACTGAGAATACTCCCTGTTTCAGTATGTTGTTTTCATTTAATCCCTTTTGTTCATTTAGTATGGGACAGAAGTGGGGTTTTATGTCAGGAGGTCGTTTCCAGGCCTGTGAACTCGTTAACTGAAGCATTCACACACACACACACACAC